GTCTGTCCAGGTACATGCAGCGAGAAGGGGGCTCGGGCTCAATCATCTTCGCCTGGAATGGAGTCACAGCCTCTAGTCTTGACTCCTGCGGATGCCTGGCGGTCCCAGCCTGAGACAGAACAGGGAAGCTGGCCTGGGAGCACCGGATTTCAGCTTCCCAGTGCAGGATGCACGTGACCCTCCCACAGAACCCTGGCTCTGGCATTTGGTCACATCCCTGTTGGGTTCATCATCTGAGCTGACTGCTCACACTAGCTGCAGTTCTGTGTCCTCACTGTTTGAATCCAGTTAATGCTCCTGCATCTTCAAGATGCAGTGTTGGGATTCCCACTGTGAAGTTTTCAGCTTTAATTTCTCGGTGACTGTAAAATGTTTTGGAACGTCCATCAGTCACTGAAGTAAAAACAGCCCCTTGGAGAATCTGTTTGAAATATTTCCACCAGGACTTCCCTGGCAGTGCAGCGGTAAGGAATCCGCCTTCCAATGCAGGGGATGTGGGTTCGATCCCTGGTCGGGGAACTAAGATCCCACAGGCCACGGGGCAACTAAGCCCGGGCGCCACAGCTCCTGAGCTCGTGCGCCTCAACGAGAGAGCTCACGTGACACAAACTACAGAGCCTACTGCGCTCTGGAACCCGCGTGCCACAACTAGAGAGAAGCCCACGCGCCACAACAGCAACAGAAGATCCCACACGATGCAGCTGAGACCCAACGCGGCCAAAAAAATAAAGAAAAGAAAAGAAAAATATTTCCACTTCTCTAGAGTACGGGAACTTAATATACCGCAAGAAAAATTCACTATTACAGTGAAACGCTGTGGAGATTTTAGGGCAACTTTTACTTTTCTTTGTAAGATATCTTAGTGCCTGGAAGAGATGAAGAAAAGCCCTGCAGTTGAATTTTGCTTTCTCTCATCTAAACGAGGAAAACCAACTCAAGGAAAACTTAAGAGCTGGGAAGTTTTCCTTCCTCTTCTGTTTTCTGGAAGAGATTGTAAAAGTTCTGTTCATTCTTCCTTAAATGTTTGGTCGAATTCTCCAATGAAGCCACCTGGGCCTGGAGAATTCTGTTTTGGTCTTTAATTACAAATTCTGCAGCTTTAGTGGTTGTAGAACCATTCAGGCCGTCTGTTTCATCTTGGATGAGTTTTGGCGGTTTATGGTTTTGGAGAAATCGGCCCGTGTCTTCTGTCGCTGAATTTATGAGCGTGAACTTGTCGGTGGTGCCTGTAGTGACATCCCTGGGTTCATTCCTGTTGTGGGTGATTCGTGTCTGCTCTCTTTATCCTTGTCATGCTAGAGATTTATCAGTTTTGGTGCTTTCCTGAAGAGAAGGCTTTTTGTTTCATTGATTCCCTCCCCCTGCCCCCGGCACTGTGGTTTTCCTGTTTTCAGTCTCACTAACTCTGGAGGGAGGGTATCCCTTCATCCTTGCAGCCAAGCAGGAGAGAGAAATTCTAGGAAAGACAGGGTGGGAGTGGTGTGTGCGCGTGTGTGCATGTGTGCGTGCATGTGCGTGTGCGTGCGTGTGTGTGTGTGTGACGCCTGCACGGGCCCTGTCCTTCATGGGGAACCGAGCCAAGGTCGGGAAGAGGCTGCGCAGGGCACACTGTCCCGTCCCAGCCCGTGAGCTCCGCAGGGCGTCCATTGTGGGAGCAGGATGGTGCCCCGGCAGCAAGGGCACATGGGCGCTCACAGCCACGCAGTCCGTTTTTTCCCGGACCGTCTGGCTGCAGAATTGGGACGGAGCAGCCCCTGTCGGCTGGGAAATGCCAATGGCTGTAGTCTAGTCATCCGAGATTAGGTCACTGGGTGACAGGATCCTGCTGGCCAGTGATTTTCAGTCGATCCTAAGCTGACGAGCACTATAAGGGGAGTAATGGCAGACTCTCGCCCAGACAACAGCTGAGCTTGTAGTGCCCGTAAATTCTTGCCCCGTTGAGGGAGGGTCCGTGGAGACGAGCGGGAGTGAATCACGGAGCCGCCCTTGGGTTCTCAGCCCGCCGGAATGTGTGGGTGGTAATGCACTTTAAATTGATTACCTCCGGTTTTGTTCATCCTTCTGAGAAATGTGACATCCAGGTGATTTCTGCTCCTTGGGCCTCTGGTGTCTTGCTCAGGGGCTGTGGTCCGTGCAGGACCCTTTGAGAGATTCCAGGCTTCCGTGGTCCAGCTTTATTCCTGGCACGAGCACAACTGTTATGAGGACTGGTTTCAGCTAATAAAGTGCATCTCCGGGATCGTGTGGTAAAGTTCACAGATGAGACATTTTTTGGTAAAGCCACTCAGGGGTTTCTGTTGGATGTAATTTAGGAGAGCAGAGCGGTCCCTCCAGCATATTTGAAGTCATGTCTAGATTACTTCCAATACCTAATACAACCTCAGTCATGTGCAAACAGTTGTTCATACAATGTCAGTGCTATTTAAATAGTCGTAAATAGGATGTAAAAGCTGTGTAAACAGTTGCCTTCCGTAGCAAATTCAAATTTTCCCTTTCGGAGCTTTCTGGATTCTTTCTCCTGAATATTTTTGATCCACGATCGGTTGAATTCGAGGATGTGGAACCCGTGGATACAGAGGACTGACTGCAAAACACAGGAACTAGGAGTCTTAGCACAGCAAACCACTGAGAATCATCTACTCATCAGTGACTTCAGTTCGTATGTAGTATTTCAGAGTTTATGAAGTACCTTCCTTTACATTTCTCATGATTTTCAGATTTTTTCAGCTCATCCAGTCCTAAAACCATGAGAGACGTATTGTTATTTTTGCCTTTACAAATTAAGTGGTTTGATCCATGTTCCCCGGTCTGGTAGGGATTCAGACCTGTGCCACCTGTGTGCCGCGGTGTCTGCATTTGTAAGTGAAGATGACAACGGACTGTTCCCCATCGAGATCTGATGAGGGTTGGATGGGTTATGTATGTAAAGGGCTTAGAACATGGCTGGCGTATACTAATCGTAAAGTAGGTGTTATGGATTACAGTGATGATGGTGACAACCATGTTTTCTGAATCCCAGAGTCCAGGGATGTAACAGCAGTCACCTGTGAGTTAACTCTGAGCTGAAATGCTCACATGCCAGCTGCACAAGTGAGGTCCTAGGGCTAAGGATGGCAGCGTGGGCTTCACCTGGGCGCTTGTTGGAAATTCAGCATCTCAGGCCCCACCCCAGCCCTGCACAATTGGACTCTGCATTTTATCAACCCCTTCCCCTCTCAGGGGATTCATGTGCATCGTAAAGGGGGAGGAGTCCTGGCTCACGCCCTGAGACCTTGGCCTCAGCCTTGACGTATGGAATTCAATCTGTTCTAAGATAAAATTTATTTATTTATTTTTTTACATTTTAACATCTTAGTTTTATTGGCAGCATTTTTCTTCCATAATGGAGCGTTAAATGCTAATTTAACTTTCAATCAATGGAGTCTTAACTTGAATGAGGTACAGTATATTCTGCCGTCTTTTTCAGTTGCCTTTTCCCCTTCCATGTTTTCTGTCTTTGCGTGTCTCTTGTTTCTGACCCTCTTTATCTCTGACTCAGGGCTCATAATAGATAAACATGGAGCTCTAACCACCTTTGCTTAGAGGAAAGACTCTTACATGGTCCCGATTCCTAGTCCTAGATTTATGACACTGAATACCTCTGGTTATCCCAAAAAAGATGTGAAAATTGATTTTAAAACAAGATTTAATTCACTTTTGATTAAAACACAAACACAGCAGAACAAACGAATGCTAGGTTTTCACTGCTCCTCCAAATCAAAGCTCTCGTCCCCCTCAGTCCCCCAGATGCTGTCTTCCCCGTCACGCCGGCCACACGCTTGGCATCAGTGATCCTCATGTGGCCTTTGGTTTCCGGAGCAGGGATGCAAACCGTAGTCTGGTTTTCCTCATTTAGTCACAGGCCTGTGTGAACAGAGTGTCCCTCCAAGGGTGACGGCCGAATCAAGCAGGCTCCTTG